CCCCTCCACCACATCTTAACTCTTAGTGTCCGGCCCAAACGTCTGCGTTCCCTCCGCGGCTCCCTGCCTTCGTGATTGGTCTGGGAGGTTAGGGAAAAAGGGAAGAGAAAAGGAGGAGGCGGGGAAGAAGGGGGTTTGAAGGAAAATGAAGAGGGGAAAAAAAAATCACGAAAAATAGCAGTCTACCCATTCTACCTAGACTGCGTTGTGTTGCACCCCCACCCCACGCCAGAGATTTGTAAAGCGCGCGCCACGGATGTACGGTTCAAAATAATACCTATAGACAGATGTGTCCCCAATGGTTTCAAAGTTTCCTCTTCCCTTCCCGCGCGAGCCCCCATCTCCGTCTTGCCGGAGGTGGGAAAGGAAGGCTTGCTTCGCCCAGAGCTCCGGTGGCCAAGCTTCTTGGAAATCCGCCACTGCAACTTTGTGCAGCCGTCGCGCGCCGGCGGCGACCCTCTTTGTTTAAGTTCTCGGATGCCATCATCTGGGAAACCTGCAGCCCTGTACCAGCGCGGGGCCCGCGCGTGCGAGACGGACCGCTTGCTGCGGCAGCTCGCTCTACCCCCACCCCTCTCCCTCTCCTTCTCCCTCCTTTCCTCCCTCCCTCCCACCCTCCTCTGGGATTCTTGCAAGTAGCGTGCGTGCCCTTGTGAGTTTGGAGGGTGCTGGTCAACGAAGCCACTCGAGGTATTTGAAAGGCAATCAGCCCGACCGTCCCCCTAGATTCATCGTAAGTGTATTCGACCCCAATGCCTTTAGAATGCTGTGACTGCCACAGCCTGCCCAGAGGGCTCGGGTCCGCTAGCCGCGCCCTCCCCCGCCGCTCCACCGCTGATGGTGGTGGTGGTGGTGGTGGTGGTGGTGGTGTGTGTGTGTGTGTGTGGTGTGTGTGTGTGTGTGTGTGCGTGTGTGTGTGTGTATCGGTGGGGTTATTACTCGCTTGCTATTCTTGGGCTTGGGGACGCTTTATTTTTCTCTTTCTTTGGGTCTCAGGTTTGCGCGGTAGCTGTGACCGCTGGCGACAAGTGCTTTCTCAGCCGCAACCCAGCTGAAAGAGTTAAGGGGGCCGGGAGGAGGAGTGCGCCCGGTAGGCGGGAGAAGCGGGGTGTGTGTGTGGGGGGGGACGCGGCCAAGCGGAAACGCTGCACAGAGGAACCTCAGCGAACCAAGAAAAAAGAGAAAGTGGCAACGAAAACAAGGGCAAATTAAACCCTCCTTGGGGATTTCCAATGAACTAACCCAATTCGGACATTCAATAAATACACGACTCTTAATGAGGGTGCTTGTGTTTGCACCCGCACCCCCCAGCTGCAGGGCACCGGCCTGCAGCCTGCAGCCTGCAGCCTGCAGTCCCAGCCCGAGCTGCAGCCGAGAACGTAACCTGGCGGCCAGTGTGCTTCGAATTTAAAGAACTGGCCTGCCTTCTCCCCATGCATAATTCCTCTGCCGAGCTCACTTAGGTGAACTCAGTTACAGTAGGAGCTCTCCAGCTCAGCAGCAGCCACGCAGCCTCTGCGTGATCTCGAGATTAACCGTAGACGCGAAGCATTTATGTAGGATTGGGTCCAGCTCCTGCTTGCCGGGTGAAAAGATACCATCTTAGGAACAGATCTAAAAGGCAGCAGTAACCAAAGCCCCAAACAGAACGGATTCCCCCCCTCCTCCCCAAAAGGTTCCTTTTTATATTTATGTATGCGTATATGTATATATAAAAGATGGAACACAGATTTCATTGAATAAATCTGAGATCTCCAGGTGCAGACGTTTGAATGGTCGGTGCCAGCACCCCGTGTTTTCCTTTCCTGCCGATTTTGCTTGGATCCGGCTCAAAAACCGAAAGAGTCTCGTGGTTTTGTTTACACTGAATGGGGAGGATAGGAACAGAGCCATGGGGCCGCCTTTCATTAATATACAGTGAGGATTTTGTCTAAATTACTGCTATGAGTTTCACAGTACACGCTTTCAAAAGCCGTCTCAGGTGGCCTGATGAAACGGGATAGCGCCTCTGCAAACAGAGCCACTCTTCCTTTGCGCGGAGGGTGTGCGCTTTCGGGAAGCCCCCCAAACGCTGTGCTCCTCAATAACAGAAACGCACTTCTGTTCCCAGGTCTGTCCCTTTCCCCTCCCTTCCATATACTTAGTTCTCAAATCGCTCCCCAGCTTCCCCCCACTCCCGCCCCACCCCATCCGCCCCCTCCCTCTGCCGAGTGTGATTGTTTTGTCTGGAAAAAAAAAATCCAAAGTATATAACAAGGGGAGAACAGTTAGTGCTGATTTTCATTTGCATACATTTTCATATATTTTGGTGAAAATAATAGACTAGTGAGAACTGGGCTTAGAGGAGTCAGTGTAAAGGGAAGGCTAAGGATGCGCCGGTTCTGGAGAGTGGAGAAAAACGCCTTCTCCTTTACCCCTCCTGGCACCTTATTTAAAAAAAAAAAAAAAAACATCCTTTTATTTAAAAGTCTAACCTTGGGAGTTTGCTGGGTAAGTGGTTTTTCCCCCCATTTTCTTCCTTTGCTTTCTCCTTTCCCTTTTGGTCCTTTCTGGTGTATTTATTTATGTTCTTGTAGGTTTGGAAGCTTTATTTTCATTGCTTGGGAGGAGAGAGGAAGGGAAAGTGTGTCGGAGGGAGTGAGCAAAAGGAATCTGACGTTGCTAAAATAATACATAAAAAGGTGGACTGGTTCCAGAGGCCCTCACAGCAAGAGCTTTACTCTTCTGGGTGAGAGCGAGAAAGTGCTATTGATTTTAATTGTTGATTATGGGAGGGGTAAACCCCTCGAAAAGAGGTGCCTACTAAGCATGGAGTATATAAATATTTCTTGTTTGGAATTTCCCCCAGAGAATCAAGGATGCAGAGGGGAAAAGCCTGGGATCTGTAGCTAGTGGGGTGACTGAATTGTGAGTCTGTCCAGGCTAGGATGGGGAGCAGTATGATCAAGTGGGGAAGAGGGCCTGGTAACCACTGACTGAGGGCTAGAGAGGAGGAAGCGATGAGGGAGTCGAGGGAGTAAGTCAGTGTATCCCTGGTTAACGCTGCAACTGGGGAGCAGGCGGTGAGCTGCAGCTCCTGGCTCAGTAGTAAAAGCCCATCAGAAAGAGGGTGATCAATCAAAACTAACCAGGACATCCCTGCTCTCCACTCCCCAAGGACGCTGGAGCTTCAGCATCCAAAGTACCAGATTTCATATGTTTTCTATTTGTGACAGTCAGACCTAACCCTCCTTATCACTACCCTCGGGTTTTGGAAAA